GTATTCTGTTCTAGTTACCTCTCATTCCAATTCATGTAACTCATCACGGGAGAATTTATGCTGGCCTCGAACACCGGGTTCTTTTGAGAGTGTGCGGAAACGAGAGCATGGCTTGAGTAGGTCCACCAGTGGAGAGGGACACTAAGCTGTCGTGAGGCTCCTTGCGATGGGTTTAGGGCCACGTGGCTTAGGGGATGGTCCATGGTGGGCCACACAGCAGCCTGGCTGGTGACGGGTCACAGACGCTCACGTGGGGGTGGAGAGGTGGTGTCGAAGTTTGGCTGGGGAGTCCCTGATGCGACAGTCCTGCATCCACTTCCGGGGAGCTGTGCGGTGTTACTGAGTGACCTCAGCTGCTTCAGCTTCGTCTTCAGAGTCGAGAAAAAGCGTGCTCCCGGCAGGGAGTGGGGGACTGTTTGATGGCGTGGGCTGGGGCCCAGGGCCGTTCCCAGCACATGTACACGCCGCCACTGGACACCCTCCCCCCACCACTCCTGCAGCTGTCTGTTGTGACTGCCATTTCTTCCTGCTGCACGGTCCTGCTCTGAGCTGTCAACCTCTCAAGTTGTCACCGTGGTTGTGACACAGCTGCATTCAGGAGCCTGTTATTTTAGCATACAAAACTGTATTTCTGAATTGCCCACAGAGATGCTCTTAATGGAAAAAGCGCACACTAGAAGCAGAAACCGTGCCGCTCCCTGCAGCTCCACTGCTCGGCGTGACCTCGCAGCCTCGTCCCAGTCTTAAATACCCGAGAAATCCTCTCCACTCGGGTCCTCCCACCAGGCTGCCTTCATCTGTTTGTAACTTTTTTGGTCTTGTCTCCCATTAATTGTCATACAGTCTGTTCTCTGTTCTATTTGTGATGGCCTGTGTTGGCAGAGAAGTTACGCGAGTGATGGAGCATCATTTCCTCTCCCGCGGCCCCGCCCAGCCGGAGAGCCGCTCGTCCGCGGGCACATGGCGGGATCTGCTCCGGGCGCACCGGGCTTGCTCCGCTCCAGCCGTCACCTCATGCGGCTTCTCCTCTCGGCCCCATCCTCGTCTGGGCTGACGGCCTGTCTTCCGACCTTCCGGAGGCTCCCGTCTGTCTCCACTCATATTTACCCGTTATCTTTTTCATTCTCGGTTGGTTGGGGGGCAGGTTAGTCTATAAAGAAGTTGTAGAGATTTCTGACCTTGAAGATTATAGGTTTCTGAGGGTTCTTTGAAGTTTTGAGGTCTGTATCCAAAAAGGAGGCAAATTTCAGATGTAATTTTCAGCCTTTTTGGGGCTACATGTACATCCTAGATCTGCCCAGCCCGAAGACATTGCAGATTTGTATTTTCCTGGATTCCCTTGAAGTGGTTCCCAGTTTTGAGCCAAGAAAATAGAGGTTCAAAGGGTTGTGTGAGGTGCTCAAATTCTCTTAACATGGTGGGAAGGTGGCCCCATGAAGGCCCCTTACCTATGTCCTCCTAGCGTATCATTCAGAGGAAGATACCTCCCACCGCAACTTCTCCCCCTAGAATTCGTAGAAGAAATCTCAAAGATTGTGTGTGACCCTTACGGTGGCTTCTGTCTGGATCAGCTATGACTGGTGGGATGTTTCCATTTCTGGCCGTGCCTGGATTATAGCTACCCCTGATCCAGTCAGAACCAATTCAGTGGGGAAGGTACAAGGAGGAAGGGAGATCTTGGCTTTAGGACACCCTCCCCTTGCAGGCCAGGGCTCTGGACACTTGCAGGAATGAAGACGTTAGCATTGTGTTAGTGTGAACAAGGACTGGTATTTCCAAGGCAAAAAATAACTCGTGTCCTTTGGGAGCCTGTGGCATTTGTGTAATTTGCTGACGACGGGAGCTTTCGCTAGGGAAGAGTAGGGTATGCCGTGTCCCAGGCAGTGTGTAAATGCGTGAGTCAGAGTGACACTTCTGGGCACCTGGCCTTTGCCCAGCAGAGGCTGACCCAGGGACTGAGTGACTGTGGCCTTGAGCACCGTGCTTACTCACGGGCCCTGTCTGACCTAGTGTCTAGCACAGGTTGCTGGCAAGTGTGGGTTTTAGCTTTGCGGTGTCTGTGTTCATAATGCCAGCCCCCTTGCAGAGCTGCAAGCCCCGTAGTGTGGTGGGGAGCTTTGCTAGATGATACCCATGGTGCTGGGGGAATGGACAGCAGGGAGGGGAAGCTCCCTCCGCTGTAACAGCCGTGGGCAGGGACTTTGCATGACGGGGTTTCAACGAACCAGTGGTTGGTGGTCGCATGTGACTTTGGCGTGATCGAGTTTTTGGCGAACGTGGTGTGTAAACTGAATGTCATATTGGGCTCTGTGATTTGTTACCTCATTGCCTTAATATTTGCTGAGAGTTTATGACTTGCTGGAGCCTGTGGGAGCCACAGTGGGGGATATAGTAGTGAGAGGAGAATTCTGTCTTCAAGGAGTTGATACTCCAGTAGGGAGTCCAAGACCTGCGTGCAGGTTGCTCTAATACTGAGAGCTGTGTCTGTTGAACAGGTGCCGGGGCCCAGGCGTTGGGACGAACAGTTCCTATGTAGGAACTCATTCTCCGAGGTAATCGTGCCGCTTATGTGTTCTGGTCATTCCCATTTTAGGGATGAGGAATTGAAAGCTTAGAGAGGCTAAGTAACTTGGTAAGGATTACTCTGCCAGGTGGTGTAGAAACTCCTGGCCTGTCTGATGTCCACCCATGGCCCCGCCATGCCACCTGTCCTCTTGGATAGAGGACTCCATGTGGCGAGCACGGGCCGTAGGCTAGACGAGGTGTCGGGCGCTGAGGAAGAGTTCTCGCTTTCAGCTGCAGTGACTGGGGGGTGCCCCGCGGAAGAGGCAGCAGCTGCACTGACAATCTGGGACATCATCACAAAGATGGTTGTCAGGGGAAGAGAAGTGGAAACACACAAAGATGAAGAAACACAGAGCAGTACAGGGGTTGACAAGGGGTCTATTTTGGCAGGACACAAGATAATAAAACTATTGTTAAATAACTCACCAGTTCAGATTTTTTTTTAAACTAATTGGGAACTCATTTCCATAGTAGACACCTCAGACCTGTTCATTTAAAGACTTGTTTGGAGATGGAACAGTGTTCCAGAAAGTAGATGGTCAGATGCACTTGAATGTGAAGCCTGACATTGTTCCTTATTTGAAAAATCAGTTAAAATCTTTTTGGAAAAAAAAAAAAAAAGAATTGTGTTTTTAAACCTTTTTACTGAAATTGGAAACAGATTCTGGAGGTGGGTGGGGGATGGGTGAACTAGGTGAAGGGAGTCCAGGGTCCATGTATCTTGGGCCCCGAGGAACGTAGAGGATTGCTGACCCCCATACTGTGCACTGGGAGCAATGACACTGTATGTTAACTATCCTGGAGTTAAAATAAGAAGTAAAAAGTTAGGGTGATTTATTTTTAAAAGAAGATTTTATTTATTTATTTGAGAGAGTAAGAATGAGAGACAGTGAGCATGAGAGGGGGAAGGTCAGAGGGAGAAGCAGATCCCCGCTGAGCAGGGAGCCCGACGCGGGACTCGATCCCGGGACTCCAGGATCCTGACCTGAGCTGAAGGCAGACGCTCAACGGAGCCTCCCAGATGCCCAGTTAAAGTGATTTTGAAAACGAAATGAAGCAAACACACAGTCTGAATTGTTATAAGGGAGCCCTCTTCAACCCGTCGCCTGAATCAGAGCTGGAGCCTGTGCCCATCTTTACCCCCAAAGAGAACACTGTCCTGGTGTTTAGGAATCACTAGGTAGAACAGTTCATTCATGCCCATTTATTGAAGTTTAAGTTTCTCTTAACGTGTACGTATCCCCATTCTTTCCTTTCCCTTGTAAGTTGTCTGTTGAAGATCCTGGGACTTCTGACCCAAGGAGCTTTCTGCAGCGTGGGCCTCGTGGCTCGCACACTTGTCGGGGGGCTTAACCTGGTCTTCTGTGTCCTCCCCGCACCGCCCCCCCCCCCCCAAAAACGGGCAGCTACATCGAGCAGCTTGACCCGCCTCATCTCTGGTCCTCCTGGCTCGGCCAGGGGCGGCCTTGTTTGCGTCAGGAGACTGGGAGCGTCCGGCTCTTTCTCTCCTGCGACGTTAGACCTGCTCGTGCTTGCTGTGAGGTCCGCGTTCTCGGCCGGGCCAGTTTGCTCCGACCCTTCCAGGACACTTGGCAGTTTGTGGCGATTACAGCCCGGGGGAGGCTGCTCCTGGCGTCCTGGGGCTCGAGCAGAGATACTGTTAACCCTCCTCATGCACAGCACGGCCCCCCACACAAGGAATGTCCAGTCCCGCGTCTCCGCAGCGTGAGGTTGAAAATCCTGGGCTGGGGTTTCCTTCAAATCCTTTTATGAACATGTGTGTTGCCTTATCTGGTCATCGAGCTATGCAGTTCACATACGAAATGCGGTTTAAATGCTTGATTCTTTTATTTACCAGTCTCCAGGAGAATGAGCAGATTCCTGTCCTCCACAGGGAGCCGTTTGCTTTACTTCTCGAAGACGTTACTATGAACCCGTGGATTAAAGGGGTTTATACTGGATCTGTTGGCTGTGGATTTAAACCTGCTGCAAGAATGTTGATCAGTTCGTTACCATCTCTCTTCAGGCCCGACCTGTCCCCTGCTCAGCCAGTGGGAGCCTCTCGGGTCGGGTGTGATGGCTTTTGATGCCAACCCCATGGTCTTGGTTTCCTTGCCCTCCGGTGTAAGGAGACGTTCCATGCTCCTCCGTCTGTTTCTGGCCACTGACTTGGCACCCTCAGTTTCCCTGGTTTCTTCTCGCCAAAGGAGCGAGTGGTCACTCAGGACCATGGTCTGGACGTCCGGGGTGCTCATTAAACTGTGTTGGTCATTGTTTTTGTCTTTTTTGGGACCAAACTAGTTACAGACCCGCATGTGCAATTGTCTGCTCTCCTTTTGTTCAAAACCAATGCCGGAATGCAAGTTCAGGAATACAGATTTTAAAATACCCTCTGCTATACCTGTGCTAACATCTTCAAATCTGACTCTTTTTAGATGGAATCAGCGTGAGTGGCTTTCCGCTGTGCAGTCCCTTCCGACAGGTCGTTAGGCCTCGAGTGGAGAGCAAGTCCGTGAACCCGCCTGAAGGCAGCAAGCCGGGGGACCCGAGCCACGTGAAGGTGAGTCCGTCCGCTTGGCGGCGTGGTGTCCTGGGTTCCTGCCATGCCTCCGGGGGCGAAGTGCTGGGTGTTTTTCGGAAAGGAAAGGAGACGTGTTTGATACCAGAATCGTGTTTGTGGAGAGCGGTTTTCTCAGTATTTTCCGTTCTGTGGAATGTTCTGAAGCGGTTACACTGAAGCTTGTATGTTGCCAGCTCTCTAGTCCGTGAAATACTGGGGGTTTGGGGGCTGAGTCAAGGAGTGCAAAGACTAATGTGGAAAATTTCCTATCTTTTCCCTGTTTCCTGAAAAATGTGTTTATGGTCTAATCATTCTCTGTTCAGGTTTCATCCCATACACTTAAGCCTTTCGGAGCTCCTCCCACTAACGGTTTTCTCAGCCCTGAGGAAGACAAATGAGGATACGACATCCGTGCAGAGACACCTCGGGCTTCTGGGGCCGTAGGGGCTGCTGTTTCCAGCCCTAGGGGAGGTCTGAACCGGACTTGAAGCCCTGGGGGCAACTTCAGCTTCTGGGAAGCTCTGCTTGCCTGCAGCTGCCCGGGGACAGGGCGTAGCGAGAGACCCAGAACTCTTCACAGCTATGGCAGGGGTGTGGGCAGCAAGGTCCCTGGGATGGCTTGTCAAGTAAACACGTGTTCAGGCCCAGCCTTGCGAGGTCTGTGCCGACATGTGGGAGGGGCCTTGACTGGCGGGACCCATCAGGAGAGCTCGGCCACGCTGGCTGGGAGCCTGGTGCAGGGACGGTGGAGCACGGATGCTGCGGGAAGGTCGGGGCGGGAGGGAAACCAGCTGCTTTTCCTTGACTGAGGTCCTGTCTGCGGACGGCAGTGATGAGGAGGTAGGTTTTAGGGGAGAGTCTTGTCCCCTGAGGGCCCTGAAGGGGAGAGGAGGCGGGTGTAGCTGGGAGCAGTTTGCAGCAGGAGTGGTCACACTGTCGCTTGACAGCTGGGTGTCAGGGCGCCCCTGTGAGCCGACGGGACTGGGAGGCGGGAAGACGCGTCGCCCTGGAGGAGGGAAGGCAGGGAGGTGAGAAGCAACCCTCGAGTGTGGAACCGCAAAGCCCCAGGTTTGAGGCACGGAGTGGAGAGACGCTGGTGTCCTCCCGGGCCCTAGGTGTGCCGTCCCCAGAGCCTCCTGGCAGCTGACCCCGGACGGTCAGCGCTGCTCCCGCCCAGGCCCCTCCGCACTCCAGCTTCCCTCTGCCGTTCGGCTCCGCCTCCCTGTGGCTTTCCTCACGGGGCAGTCCTGGAGTTGGAGGCAGAACTTTGAAATCCAGGAGGTCATTCATTAGGTAAATCATCATTGAGGTCATTACTCGCAGTCACTGGGTGGTGGTGGCTGGGGCGTCACTCGAGTTTTCTTGGTGAGCGTTGTAGGCTGTGTGCGTTGTATTTCTTGGACGCACGTGAGCTTAGCTGTCCTGAAATGCACTCCCTGCGGCGGCGGCGCCGTCTGCTGGGGACACCCGGTGTGTCAGGCACTAGCATACGATGTGTCCTTCTAGGTGGTCTCCTCTGAGGAGAGAACTGTGACTCTCAGGTCATGTGAGTCAGTTTGTCCCCCACCTAGTCGCTCTCCGTTGCACCGTGACACCTTCTTTCCGTGGGCCCACGGCTGCACTGTGAACAGTGTCCGTGCCTCTTCGTAGAACTGTTACTCCAGTGTGGTTAACACACGGCATTGCGTGACTTTCAGGGGCACAGTGCGGCGGCTCTGCTGCTCGGGAATCACTTCGTGCCCCTCCCGACAAGTGCGCTCTCGGTCCCCGCCCCCACCGCCCTCTGCTAAGTACCACTGTGTTCTCCGTGCCCAAGAGTCTGTTTCTCGGTTTGCCTCTTTTTTTTCCCTTTGCTCTTTTTTCTTAAATTCCGCATGTGAGTGAAATCACAAGGTATTTCTTTTTCTGACTTAGTTCACTCAGCACTACACTCTCTGGCTCTGTCCACGTGGTTGCAGATGGCACGATTTCATTCTGTTTTACAGTGAGTAATATTCCTCTGTGTGCGCGTGTGTACGTCAGAAGACGGACGGATAAAGAAGATGCGGTGTGTGTGTACATACACACACACCGTATCTTCTTTATCCGTCCGTCTTCCGAGGGACACGCGGCTGCTTCCTTGGTTCCGCGGCTGTGGCTGCTGCTGCAGTGAGCATCCGGGGACATGTGTCCCTTTGAATTCGTGTTTTTGTAGTTTCTGGGTAAATACCCAGTGCAAGTTGCTGGGTCGTAGGGTGGCTCTATTTTTAACTTTTTGAGGAACCTCCACACTGTTTTCTAGAGTGGCTGCACCAGCCTGCATTCCCACAACAGTGCACGAGGGCTCCCCTTTCTCCGCATCCTCTCCAACAGGATGTCTTTCCTTGTGTTGCTGATTGTCGCCGTCCTGACTGGCGTGAGGTGGTGTCTCATGGCAGTTTTGATTCACATTTCTCTGATCATGAGTGATTTGAGCCTCTTTTCATGTGTCTGTTGACCGTTTGGATACCGTCTTTGGAGGAACATCTGTTCATGTCTCCTACATTGGACTCTGTATCTGGGGATGTGGCGTTACAGAAGTTCTTCGTGTATCTTGGGTATCCCAGTTTGTGCACCCGGCCAGCTCTGGTGTTCGGTCTCGGCACGTTCCGTTACCCGTCACCCACGTGGAAACTTCTGTCCACTTTCCTCAGTGAGCCTGGGAACCTCCTCAACTAGTTTCTTATCAAGAAAACCGGAGTTTGGGCCGTGTGTTCTGCAGGCCAGGAGCGGTGCTGGGCACAGAACAGCCCCACGTGTGCGCCGTCTGGGCAAACAGCCTTCTAGTACGTGGGTAGGGAAACAGGTTTACGGAGCTTATGTCACTCGCCCAAGGTCATGGAGTTACCAGGTGGTGAGGAAGGGTATGAACCCATGTTGCTTCTGCTCACCCTGCCCCGGGGCTGGGCCCTGACCAGGACGGGCTCCTGTGTGTGGAGTCCGAGGAGGGCACTGAGGTGACAGACCCTTGACACGGGCACGCGGGAGCAGCTGTGTTCTCGGAGGCCTGGTGGCGCTGGGAACCTGCAGGATGGGGCAGTGTTTCCTGGCTGTGGAGGCGACGCTTCTGTGGTTCGGTCGTACTCTGAGGGAGCCGTGCGGGAGGGGTGCTGTGGGCGCCGCCGCCGGGGCTTTTTGGTTCTTCTGGGCTTGTGCCCCGGTTCTGCTCCCAGAAGCGGGAGGAACGTGACCTGATTGGAAACGTGCTAAACCTGTAAAGTTACCGCGGAAGAATGCTGTGGCCAGGGAAACCAGGCCTTCAGGGAGCCCTCCAGACGTGGGAGATGATGCCATGTGGTTCTTGAGGTTTCCCAGAAACGTCGCCTCCCCTGTTCCGCCAGCGCTGACCGCGTCTGTCTGTGCTGGTGACTGGTTTTCGGCCAACTGCCACAGGCCCACGTGAGCGATTTCTAGGGCTGAGACAAGAGGTGTGTGAAATGGCTTCAGATGAGAAGTAATACTCCTACAAGCCAGGCTCTACTGTGGCCGCTCTCGACCCTCAATTTCCCCATCTGTGAAATGGAGCAACTTTCCTCTGTAGGGTTTTTGGGAGGTTTAATGTAAGAGCTTGGCAGGGGGAAGGCTGGAACAAATCAAGAAGTAATGACAAACAGACTTTATTCTTGCATTAAAAGTAAGATTTGATCGAGTCCTGCTGTTTCAAAGGGAGCAGCGGGGTTCGGGGGCACGGACTGGAGCAAGGTGGGGGCAGTTACTCTGCTCAGCCCGGCTTCCCCAGCGCTGGTGAGGCTGGCGCTGACCCCCGAGTCAGGGCCTGTGTGCACACGGTGTGGCAGAGGCCTGGGGCGGCCAGGGCTCCACCGAAGCCCTCCGAAGGCACCAGAACCTGGGCCGGCCCGCCATGGGCTGGGGAAGTGAGTTGGAGGCTTCCCACCCCAGTGGGCCGATGCTGCGTGTGTGGGTCTGGGTCCCCGTAGCCTTGCCTGTCAGGAGCCTCCAGCTTTGGCCTCCAGGGCTGGACTACACGGAAAACGCGGGAGCTGGCTGAGCCCTGGAGCGAGCAGACAGACACTGCCACTGTTCCTGGCAACATGCCCGTCCCCCCACGGACAGCACTGCTCCGTTCGTGCCCCATGCCCGCTGAGGGCCTGCGGGAACATGTGAGAAGGTGGGCGAGTGGGTCTGCTTTTGGGCTCTGTGCATATCTGGCTCCTGGGAGCTGGTTGGTACGTGGCCCTTCTGGTCGACAACGTCTTGTCTTTAAGAATCCCCGAGAACAGGCCTAAGCCGCAGCGCCCTTGCGGCCGCTGCCACAAGGGGCCCCTCCGCTGGGGGCCGGGTGTGGTGCAGTCTGCTTTCCCCGCAAGCTCACGTTTGAGCTGGAAGCTGGTGCTCACGCACCCGCACTCCCTCTGTTCCGACCGCGGCCCTGACACCCTGCACAGCTCATCCCCTACCCCAGTCACCCATTCACAGCACCCAGGCCTTGCTTTCCTGACCTGCAGTTTGGGGAGAACGGTCTATTCTCCGGCTCAGCGGTTCGTGAAGAGCCATCGAAGTACTGCCTGGGCGCCTTGGTGGGGAGGAGAACTACACTGGGGCTGCCTGAGCCGGGCAGTGGAAGGTGTGCCGAAGCCTTGTCCAGAGCCTTCTGGTTAGGGAGCAGCCGAGCCCCCCAGCCTGGACCCCGCCCGCCTCTTCCACACGGGCCAGTGTTCTGTCGCGTAGCCTTGCCAGGCTTGGCCCTACCTCCTGGCTTCCCTGCTCCCTCCTGCGCACGGGCTGCAGGCTGCCACCTCGTCCCGGAGCCTCTGCAGGGACTTGGCCCAGCTGGGTTGGACACGCACTTGCTCTTCTGCTGCCTTCGTGCTCCGTGGGATCCCACCAACACGTCAGCCCTGCCGGAGCCGGGGCTTTCCTCCCGCCGCTGTCCGGTCCGCAGGCCTACGAGAGCGCCTGGCACAGAGCAAGCTTTCTAGAAGTAGTTGTGGAGTGAGCTAATGCACGGACGTGCGTTCTGA